ATGGATGTTGGTCAGCCTTCTGGTTGCTCTTCTTCTGCGTTAAATCTGACGGTTGCCTTCTTTGCAGCTGTTCTGTATTTCTTTTCGTTCTAAAACGAAAGGCGAAGTATCGCAAAATCCACCTAAAAAGCATGGATGCACCCCCTTCCTTTTTTTTTTACAAGTAAGTACTTCTCTTTTCGCCGATTACTTCCTTCACACATACTCTGCGAAACTTCATCCCCTATTTCCCCTCCACAGCCACAGTGCTCAGCTAAGGGTCCGCCCCCTGCAGACGTTCTGCCAGCTGGGCTCAAAAGCGTTTCAATAACATTCTTCTTATTCTTTCTGTATACTTCAACATTGATATTTATCAAGCAAGGGTAGAAATAGTTATTCATACAAAACGTGAATAACTATTTCTACCCTGGGCGAGCCGCACAATATCCCGTGAAAGGCGAATTAACAGAGCAACAACACACAGCAGCAAAGTGAGGTCAACTGCAGCTGAAATTCATCCTAACAAACCGCACTAATGCATTATTGTACAAAAAAATATTAACTTATTGAGGCAATTAGTTAGATATTTCATGAGGAGGGTATTATCCCGTTTCGCTCAGCAATAGAGCACAAGGCTTTCCTCAGGAAATTTCTGATTGCTTGCTGACACGTCAACAATGATGCTTGATAGCCTCACCTAGAGAAAATATTTTACGCAATATATGTTTGGATATGTATTTTTTCATGTATTTATATTTCTATACTTACTTTTGATCTCCTCTCTTGCCACGGCAGCAGTCATATAGCGCAAACGAGATCTGTGTGACGAGTTTCGCTGACATCCCTCCAGAGGAATGCAAAAGAGGAAATTTAGCATTTGTTGGTTGGAATCATGAGGACTAGAAACACACCAACAGGCGTCAAATACATATTGTTTGCTTCTCTATGTGTTTATTTCTTTGTTCATTCTTCCCTCTGCAAAAAAAAACTCAACTTGAATGCTGGCGTCGACAATAAAGGAGGTTTGCACAAATGTTCACGCTATAGGATCTCATTTTCAGCTCCAGTGGAAGGAGGCGCTCTTAAACCACCATTTTTTACTATCAAAGTAAATTAAAAGAGAAAAATGTAAATTACAGTTTGTGCTCCTCGGCAAGGAAGAAAAGGCGACAAACTATCACCAGGAAATGAAAGTGATTCCCCTCCAAGCAATACAAAATTGAGTATTTCTCCACAGCTACGGTGTGTAAAAAGCGAGGGTATATGCTACTAAATGAATATGCTTATATTTTATGCATATTATACACAATGTATATATTACAGGCGATTAGGGGCCGTGATTCCTTGAGCATGAACTGCGACTTGAGACTGATGATAGGGATGAGGAGTGCCTCAGTTGACGTTTCTTTAACTTATTTTTGCTATTTAGTTATAATTTAACTGTACCTTTAACGCGTTTTGATTATTTATTCGGGTTGCTGACGGTCGTTTAACGCGTTGCAGCCATTTAATTTCCTATTCCCTCATCAGATTGATACTATTCATTTTTTGGTGGTGGTATTACTTAAACACGGTTTGGTTTTACATATCTGAAAATTCAGATTCGTGAATGCTAACGAGGTGGCTGTGGTGGGCTCGCGACGCTTCCTGCAGGGGATGGGGCGGGATTACGCAGGTATTTTGTTTTCCCTTGTCATAAAACATTGAATTTAATGATTTAAACATCAAAAATACCATTTTTACTTCAGATTTCCCCCGAATTTGTCGTGATTTTTGCTGTATTGACGACCACGCGGGCCGCATAGAAACTACTGGGGTGGGTAGGACCAGTGAGGAAGGCTGTGAACCTCCATTCTTCTGGGGGGTTCTTCTCAATATAGAGAAGTAATACACGTTTTGCCGCATTATACAGTTTTTATTAACCTTTTTAGACATATACTTGTGTTTATTTACTGACTTTTGCCCGCAGAAACATGAAAAATAATAAATGCCAGCGGGGGGCCAGAGGGGGCGATCGCGAATCTTGTGACCTTCGCGCCGTTTCCCGAATTTCTCGTTTTTTATGCCATTTAGTATAGTTGACTTACTATGTTTATAATTATTGTGTTATTTACTTTTAATTTTTTTGATTATTTTCTCCGTTTTCCCTGTATTTGCTTCAGAACTGCCGGCCTGCACAGCTGCTAGCTGGCTGATTGTGGGCTCCCTGGGGACGCCTGCAGTTCGCGCCGCTTCCTAAAGCATTTGTTGCATCTTCCTTTTGCCTTCGTTGTTTCTTTGCTTTTTTTTGTTTCTTTGTTATCAAATTGTCATCGTATAAACTCCGCCAAAAATGGGGGTTCTCAAGGTCTTGACGGTGCTCTCAGCTAGCGCCCTCTATGCTGTGGAGACCGAGGCAACAATCCCCGTTCAGGGAGGCATAAGTTCAGGTGAGTTTTTTTGCATGTGTTTAAACTTCAATAGAAAAAAAGGAAAGTAAAGAAAAATCACTTTGCGTTGCATGTTGTTTTCCT